TCTTAAAAATGGCCAGAATCCTAATGGCCCTTCTCCAGCTTTGTATGAACTTGAACTATTTTGTAAACTCTTGGGCCGAAAAGCTCATACAATATTCAGTCGTGGGAATTCCAGAACAAAGGTTTGTGGATCCCACTGAATTTGTCTGAAAAGTCCTATGAATGTGTAGGCCCGGGCCTTCTAAGGAGGATGTCCGTTGTCACCAGATTCTCGAAGGTGTTGGGCCCCAAATCAGCTCTAGATTGTGGGTACCTCTCCAGCCAAAGGAGAGAAATCTCAGAGGATCTCACATAGAGATAGTGGGTTTGGGGATGATGTTTGTAAACTGAATAATAATGATAATTAATAAAGCTCTCTTTCTCTGAGGGTTTATACTCTATGCCAGGCCCTCAGTCTGTTGCTTTGGATGAGCTCAGTTCTCACAACAACCTTCTGAGCCATGTGCCATTATTCCCATCTTTAGGTAAGGGAACCAAGGCCCAGGAAGTTGGAGGAACTTGGCCAGAGTCACCGCCTAATAAAAGGCGGAGGAGTCAGGGTTCACAACCAGGCTGCCTGGCTCCGGAGCCCGCACTCCTGGCCACTGCCCGGCGCTGCCTGTCCAGGCCGTAGGAAGAGTGCACAGGAGCAAGAAAGGAAAGCGAACTGGGCCAGGCGTTGCAGGCAGAAGGAGAGCGGTGGGGAGGGAAGGAGCCCACCACCCTCCCCAGCAGTAAGTGGGGTCAGGGCAGGCTGGTGTGGGGCTGGTGGACACATTTCAGCATTAGAACCACCCTCCCCGGCGCCCTGCCCCCCCCGCATGCCACCCCTGCCCTCTGAGCCTGCACATGAGGAGTGAACACTTCAGGAAGGGTCACTGTCCTTAATGGCATTGTCATCGGCGCTTGCGGTTCCAGGCCCCAGTAGGCAAGCCCTGGCAGTGTGCCCACTGCTTGCTGCTCCCAGCCCGGACCTGAGGAGCTGGCTCCTTCACGTGGGGGTGATCTGCAAGGCCCAGGTGAGGTGCGTGCCCCTGGTGACCCCGGATCTATAGGTCTCCAGGAACTGGGTAGAAGCTAGTGCGTCAGCCTTGGGGCCCCGAGCCTGGAACTGAGGCCTGGGGAGTAGGCGGCCCCAGGGCTAGAGGCCATCTCTTCTGGGAAGCTTTGTGGTTCCTCGTTGGTTGGTGCACTGGGTTCTCAGAAAGGGCCTGGGCATGACCTTCACCTCCATCCCGACCCCTCTGCTGGAGAATGGGAGTGCGGGGCCAAAGGGAGGGTGGTGGGTGGTTGCTTTTTCCTTTTTTTCTTTTTCTTTTTTTTAATTTTAAAAGATTTTATTTATTTTTAGAGAGGGAAGGGAGGGAGATAGAAACATCAATGTGCGGTTGCTGGGGGTCATGGCCTACAGCCCAGGCATGTACCCTGACTGGGAATCGAACCTGCTACACTTGGGTTCGCAGCCTGAGCTCAATCCACTGAGCTACGCCAGCCAGGGCCTCTTTTATTTATTTATTTTTTTCATGCAAACTTTTTATCGTAGTAATACAAGACATAAAACCATTGTAACCACTTGTGGCGTTTGGCTTTTAATGCCTGGCTGAGTGGTAAGAACAGTGTATGCTATCGGGGAGGTGTTTGCCATGTGCCAGGAGCTCTCGTTTAATTGTTAAAATAATCCTGTGGGTGAGTGTGATGTTCCTGTTGTGCAAATAAGAACGCTGCGGCTCAGAGAGGTCGGTGACGTTCCCAAGGACGTGTAGCTACCGGGCAGCAGAACTGGGGGTCAGACTCAGGCAGCCTACTTCCTTTCCTAGCACTTTCTGCAGCTTCTGAACCCGAGTAGATGAGTCTGATGTTCCCCATTGTACAGCTGTGGAAACTGAGGCCCAGAGAGACCACGTGACTTGCTCAGGGTCCCAGAGTTTGACAGAAGGAAAGCCTCTGTGGGCCTTGACCGTCCTGGCGCTCAGCCCGCCTCTTCCCTACCCCCAGGTGGCGATGGTGGAAGTGCAGCTGGACGCCGACCATGACTACCCGCCGGGGCTGCTCATCGCCTTCAGCGCCTGCACGACGGTGCTCGTGGCCGTGCACCTGTTCGCGCTCATGATCAGCACCTGCATCCTGCCCAACATCGAGGCGGTGAGCAACGTGCACAACCTCAACTCGGTCAAGGAGTCGCCCCACGAGCGCATGCACCGCCACATCGAGCTAGCCTGGGCCTTCTCCACTGTCATCGGCACGCTGCTGTTCCTGGCCGAGGTTGTGCTGCTCTGCTGGGTCAAGTTCTTGCCCCTCAAGAAGCAGCCGGGCCAGCCACGGCCCACCAGCCAGCCCCCAGCCAGTGGGGCCCCAGCCGTCAGCAACGAAAGCACGGGCGGCATCACCCCGGGCCAGGCCGCTGCCATCGCCTCCACCACCATCATGGTCCCCTTCGGCCTGGTCTTCATCGTTTTTGCGGTCCACTTCTACCGCTCACTGGTCAGCCATAAGACGGACCGACAGTTCCAGGAGCTCAACGAGTTGGCGGAGTTCGCTCGCTTGCAGGACCAGCTGGACCACAGAGGGGACCACCCCCTGACTCCTGGCAGCCACTACGCCTAAGCCCTCCTTGGCCTGGGCACTTCCTCGCTTTGGCCTTAGGCCCTTCCCCGAGACCTTGTCCTGCTCCAGCCTCAAGCACAGCCTGCACAGGGTGCGGGCTTTCGTCGGGGGGCAGAGAGTGGAGGGAAGAGGCTCTTTTTAAACAGCAATAACTGCACCCTGAAAGTTTCCTCTAAGAGAAAAAGCACTTCCTGTTCTTCCAGGTCTTCTGGGTTCACCTCTGTTAGGAGGCCACCGATGGGAGCCAGACCCGGGACAAATGCTCCCTTTGTCCCTCCTCCGGGCCCATGCCAGTGCCATCTGGATGCTTCCTGTCCTTTCAGCCTTGACGCCCCCCCCCATTCAGTGTCGAGTGTGTGCGTGCGCATGTGAACACATAAATATACTCATAAGGGGTGCCTCCTCTTGTGTCCGTGTTTGCTGGGCCGGGGCTGCCTGGCGTCATTTCTCTTGCTGCCTCCATCAGGTGAGCCTTTCAGCAGGTTATTTTTTTCAACATTTTGAGAAATTTCAAACCTGCAAAAAAGTTGCATGAACAGGAATTGAAAATATATACGCAGTCAGTTCTTGTTATTCGTGGTAGTTCTGTTCTACAGAATTACCGTGGACACTGAATTTGTGGGTACTGAACCATCATCACTCCTATGGGAAACACGGGGGTAGGGTTCCTGCGAGTTTCTGGCCACAGTATTTCTGTCAACTGATCATCAGTACATAACCTTGTTTTGTGTGTGTTTCCATTTAAAAAGACCTTATTTAATATGTGTTGCTGATTCACTGGCACTGAGTTCAGGGAACTACCACTCATGCCCGAATGGAGCTTGCCCGCCTGGCACCGCCGTTTTCTCCAGGGCACGGCACACCCCCTGCACTCGGGGTACACTGGAGAGAAGCGCTCCGGCACCTGAGGACCGGTCTAAACGGCGAAACCAACAAAAGGCATGAAACAAAACATGGGGCCCTAAACAGACGGAAAGGGATACTTGTTTACAGTAGGAGCGCTGAAGCAAGGCGGAAAGTTTCCGTATTCAACTTCACCAGGCAATTCGCAAATACAGAGGCCGTGTGTGATGAGGATCACCCTGCCCCCCCACACCCCGGGCTGTAGGCGTTAGTTGCAGACACCTCGACCCTTCCTGCTTAAATACTTCCTCCTCAAACCTAGGATATTCTCCTGTGTAAGCACGATGCAGTGATCAAACTCAGGAGGTCTGGCGTTGATGCAGTCCTGATAGAACATTCACGGTCACTTTCCTACTTGTCCCAGTCTCGTCCTTTCTAGCTGTGGCGTTTTCCGCCCAGGGTCGTGGCGTTCCATTGAGTTGGAACAGCCTCTCTTGTCCTTCACGACATGGACATTTTTGAGGCGTCCAGCCCGGCGGTTTGTATGTAGAATGTGACCTCAGTTTGGTTTCTCTGCTAGTTTGTCATTCTTGCAGTCAGGTTGTGCACTTTGGCAGGGAGATTTGTCTCCGTTTTGCAGATGACAGAACTGATGCCCTAAGAGGTTAAGTCATTGGCCAGAATTTGAACCTAGAAAGTCTGGCCCAGAGCCTGGACACTCACAGAAATCTTACACGGGAGGATTCTGGCTTTGCTTAAGAAATCGGAAGACCCAGCAGTAGCACTGGGCCCACCTTCTCCTGGAGCAATAATGAGCAGGAGCTGACTTGCAGCCACCCTCTGCCACAGGACATGTGTTTGCCACAGTCCCCACTACTCCCTCTTGTCTTACACCAAGACAGCTTCATCTGTGCCGCTTCCCTGGCCCCAGGGACCTTTGAGTTTGAGAGTTCTGTCTGTCTCAGCAAGTGGGGTTTATAAATACAAAGCGCTCTGGCTAAAGTGAAAATCGGTAGGGGAAAGTGTGGCCCTAAGGTCTTGTCCTGTACAGACTTGAACTTGACAGCAGCTGAGTGGGGAAGGGGGCCATCCTTTTTCCTATCTCAGCGTCTTGCCTCCATCCTGCATCACATACACCAGGGCTCACGCCTCCCCCGTGCCTAGGGGGCCTGAACTGAGTAGGACAGTTAGGACAGGATCAGGGCCCCTGTGTGGAGCTGTCCACTGCCGCCCAGAGAAGACAAAGGCACCTTCCGTGCATCCTCAAGAGACCTGCCTCCCCACCTCTGAGGAGACTTAGAATCCCTCTGGAATCATTTCTGGTCTGTGACTGTAGTCTTAGGTTTTCTTTCCTACACTTCCCTGATTCAAGAATCGCCACCTCGGCCTGTAAAATGCAGATACCCAAGCCCTTCCCCTCGGTGTGTCTGATTCTGTTTGTTTCTTTGTATTTTTTCCCCATTCCCATTTATCCCCCCTACAATTCTGTATTTTTAACAAGCATTCCAGATACTCAAACCCAGGCAACTTGAGGAAATGCTGGTAGTTGAGAACAGTCTCTAACTTCAGTTTTATTCGTGTTTTGAACAGATGATACACTCGCATGGTTCCAAACGCACAGTGAAAAGCCGCCCTCCCCCGTCCCTGGTCCTCCCTAGAGACGACCATCTGTTGCCAGTTCATTTGGTTTCCCACTCTGCTTCCGGGAGAGAGATTATACGTAAACCGGCACGTACCCCCTTTTTCTGGGGGGGGCAAAAAAAAGGTGCCCTGTGCACACGGTTCTGGACTGTAACTGCAGATAAGTGTGCCTGTGAGTACAGTCACTCTCCAGGTGGCGACTTGTGGACCTCCCTGGACCTCCGTCTCCTCCTCTAAAGTGGGACGAGTGATAGCAGAACATCACAGGTTGCTGAGGGCCAGGGGATGGGACACACGCAAAGCCATCAGCACAGCACCTGGCCCCCGAGTGAGCGCTCTGGGTCTGTCTGGTTAATTCCGTGTCCCGAGGAGGCCAGGCTCAGCTTCCTGGTGTCAGGCCACCCCGTTACAGTTTAGAAGCAGAACCTGACTGTGTCAGTATTTATGGACCCTTTACTAGGCACCAGGCGCCCGGCGATGCCCCCCTACCTCCTGGTATTTCGGGGTGCCACTGTGGAGAGCCGGCTGAATCATTCTTTGGTGGCGTGTTTACATTGCAGCCAGCAAACTGAATGCCCCGGGGAAGGGTGTCGTGTTTGATCCTCCCAGTAACCACAACAACACTGGGCGGTAAATACCGTTATTGTCCCATATTAGAGGAGAGGAAACCTGGAGGACGGAGAGGTGGGGCGACGTACCCGAGACCGCACAGCTGATAAGTCACGCTGGATTCACAGCGCCGGGTGCGGGCGGTCCGACCCGCAGAGCTCCTGGCCCTCCTCGTTGTGTAAGAGCCCCTTATCTCGCAGGAATGCCGTCCGCATTAGAATCGTGCAGAGCCCTTCGCAGACATCGCTTCCCCATTAACCTCGATACGTGTTAGTCAGCGTGATGACATCTGAGAGCAAACCCTCCAAACGCCCCTGTGGGACCTCAGATGTCCCATGTTGCAGAGGCGGCACGGGGGTCCCTTGCCAAGGGTCACAGATCCTGCAAGTCGGGGGTTCTCGGCCCTGGCTCTGTACGTCAGAATCATCTGGGGAAGATTTTGAAGGCCCGGGCCTCACCCCAGTGAAATGAGAAATTCCGGGCGTGGATCTTGGGCTTCTGGCTTTTAGAGCTCCCACGGGATTCCAAAGTTGAGAGCCCTTGTGTTGGACCAAGAAGCCAGGTCAGGTTTAAGCCCAGATCTTAGGGACCAGTGTGCCAGATGCAGGCTTTCTTCTCTCCCGAGTGCTTCAAGAGTGCAGAGACCCAGAGCCACCTCCCCCCACCCCTTAGGGTCTAGCCTGCCTCCTCTCTCCCTGAGATCCCTTCCAGCCTCCCCTGCCCCCAAACCTGACACCACCAGCCCCAGGCTAATGCCACCAGGTGCTCCTTTATTCTCATGCACTCAGGGGTAGGGTCCTGGAATGAAGCAAGAGGGTACCCAAGGCCAGCTGGAGAGAGAAGCGCTGGCACCCTGTTGGCAAAGAAGAACCCAGTGCTGGGAGGAGCGAGGTGCCGAGGGTGTGCCGGAGCCACAGCGCACTCCTCCAGTGGGAGCCGCACCGGTCTGAGCAGTTGGGTGACGTGCGTTTGACTTTCTCCTGAAGCTCTGGGAGTCTCTCTGCAGAGGCGAAGGGGCGGTGGAAGCTGGCTTTTCAAAGACACTATCAACGCCCTCCCCTTGAACCCCACTTACACCCACAGCAGGAGGGGCTAGGGCCGAATGGGCCCACTGGACAGATGTGCAGGTGGAGGCCAGGCGCAAACCACCCTCCGCGCATTCGGGGGCGAGCCTGCCACCTGACCCTCAGCAGTGCGCCTCCCAGGACGCCCAGGGCACAAATGGGAGGGCCGGCCAGGGCTGCAAGGAGCTGATCTTCGGTGACATTGAGTCCTGAAGGCGAGGAGCCAGAAAGGACCAGCGGGACTGCAGGAGGAGGCAACCCGCCCTCTCTGGTCCGGCCCTGAGCCCCTTGGCCAGGGGAGACCCCAGGGGCTGCCTCGCTCCCACAGAGGGTGCCATCCCCACACCTGGCATCAGTCTCCTTGTTTTTCCTCCGCCTTCTTGAGCACGGCCAAGGCTTCCTCCAGCACTCCGTCGGGGTCTAGGATCTCGACCTGGGGGGAGGCAGCAGGGGTGGGTTTGAGGTGCATAGAGGTCCCAGGCAGCCAGTGTTATGAGGCGCTGCCTGCCTTTGGCGGTGCTGACAGCCTTGTGGGGTGCTGCCCGCCTCCCTGGAGATGCCCCGACCGAAAACAAAACCTCGTCTGTTCGCTAGTTGGACTGAGCTGGGTCAGGCCGGGCTGGGTGTGGCTGGCGGGGGGGGGGGGGTTCTTTTCCGTCTGTTTCTGGGCGTGGTCACGGCGCCCTGGTGAGGGCTGCCCACCTGAGGAATGGGGAACTGGGTGGGCTCGGGGGCCTCCTCGCGGCCAAAGTCCATCATTGTGCCACACTTGGCCACGTCGTCCACCCAGAAGCCTTCAAACAGCTGACCATGGTTCAGGTGGAAGAAACGCCCCGGCCCGTTTTTCAAGCCTCCCTGCCAGTGGCCCTCATAGCGGTTCCCATTCTCTGGAAGAAAGGACAGGGCTGTGGGTGCCGGGCACAGCCAACCAGCCCCTCCACCATGCCCTGCTGGCCTTCTGCCACCTAAGTTTTTGGGAGACTGGGCTCCAGGCTCCTCACCAAGAGCACCCGCTATGTGCCAGGCACTGGGGAGACAGTGAGGAACAAGAGACCAGTCCTGGTCCTCACGCAGCTCACAGTCTAAAGGGACAATACCGCCAGCCTTATAGACCGTGGGCCGTGGGCCAGACCCTATTTTAAGCACTCCACAGAGACCCCCCTCATCTAATCCTCATCACGGTCCTGTGGCGTGGGCACTGCTATTATGCCCAGGTGAGAAACAGGCACGGGAAGGCAACGTCACCCCCTTGATTGCACACCTGGTGCTCCGCAGGAAAGGAAACAGGTGCTGAGAAGAAAGAGGAGCATGCGCTGTAGGTGGAGTGGGCGGGGGAGGCCTCTCCGAGGTGGAGACAAAGCAAAGATCTGGGCATCGCCTTTCTGTTCCAGGGAGGGGGAACAGCAGTGCAAGGGCCCTGAGGCAGGGAGCGTGGGAACTGAAGGGAAGTATGGCTGAAACCAAGGGAGCCCAGGGGAGAGGGGCAGGCAGGGCAGGACACGTGGGCCCCCACACCGCAGGCAGTGTGAGCTCATTCCGAGGGCAATAAGCGAACTATGGAAAGTGGAAAGCAAGACAGTGACATGCTCCCTTTTGTAAAAAGCTCCCTCGGGTTGTTATGTAAAGAATAGATTATGTCCTGACACCAGTGTGGGCTTCTCTTTACTCTTTGCTGGGGGACATTTTCCCTAGTTCAACGCATACCCGGCTCCTCCTCTGCCTTCAGGTCTCTGTGCAAAGGCTGCCCCCTGAGGAAGGCACCCCCTGACTCCTGACCCTCAGTCAGCCTAAATAGTCCCTGTCACCAGCTCCTTTGTCATCCTCCGACACACCTTCCTGTTTCTTCAGGGGAATGCCTTAGCAATGTTTGACCTCACAACTAACAGACTGTGTGACCTTGATCGAGTGACTTAACCTCTCTGGTGCCTCGTTCCTTTGTAGAGTGGGGCCGAGAGTGCCGGTGCTGTCGAACTGGAGTGAGGATTAAATGGGTCCATGGCTGTATAAGTGTAGCTATGATTGTTATGACCATAAGAAAATGTCTTAATTGTCCATTTTTATTGTGAGGCTCTCATTTTAGAGCATAAGCTCCCTCAGGGCAGGGATTTGGACCTGTTGTCCCCCTTAACCCACACTGGAGCAGGGTTCTGCCGGGGGCGTGGCTTGATGGGGGCGGGTCTGGCTGAGCCCAGAGGAATAAAGCTGGGTGGGCGTGACCAGCAGGCTGGGGCGTGGTCGCGTGGGCGTGGCTGGGAGGGTGGGCGGGGCACTCACTCTGGCGTAACATGCCCTCCCCTTCCGGCTTGTCGTTCCACCATTGGCCTTCGTAAATGTCACCATCGCTGTAGTACATGCGGCCCCACCCGCAGCGCTGGTTGCAACACCACTCACCTTCGTAATACTCTTTGGGTCCGTAAAAATGGATCCCATAGCCCTGAAAGCAGGAAGGTAAACCCGTTCACTTCACGGCGCCCCCCAACCACCACTAGGAAAGCCCCACCATCCTCCCTGGCACCCAGTCCACACACCTGGGCTTCTCCTTGCTTCCTCTCTCAGTCCTGCACCTCGTATCGAAAAATCGCTCCAAGCTGCCCATTTCCCTCTGCTACCCAATTCGAGCAGCCCACCGTTCTTTCTCCCCTCCTCATTGGTCCCTTCTTCCACTCTCCCATTCTCCCCGCCCTCATGCATCCTCTATACAGCAGCCAGAAGGGTCTTTTACATAGCCCATCTGCTTATGTTAACCCCAACTCTGATCTGACCCTCTTAAAAGTAACAGTTGCCTCTGAGAATCAGATCAGAGCTGTGGACTTTCTCCCCAGAAAAATGAACATCAACACCACCATACTCAGCATCCAACCACAGAGAATCATGGACTCCCCACAGATCACACCTAAGGAGGTTGGGTGAGGCAGCTCAAGCTTCCTGATTCCCCACCAACACCAGGCCCACACCTACACCCCCTCTTCCCCCCACCCCTTTGGGCATGCACACCTTGCTGACATATCCTTCCTTTTGTTACTTCTGCCTCCTTTGCTACTTCCCCTTCTTTTTTACTCCCAGGTTAACTGCATTTTTTTTAATGTCACCTCCTACAGGAAGCCTGCCATGAATGAATGTTCAGTAATCTTCCTCTGGGTTCCCTGTGCAAACCTCCATCCTAACACTGTATTATATGTACACTGTTTATTTTGAGTTCTCTCTACCCACTGGCCAATAAACAGTTTGACAGCAGAGATCATGAAATCCTGGACCCCAAGCAGTGTGACCCCAAGCAAGACACTTCACTTCTCTGAGCTTATTTCCTCATCAGTAAACGGGGGGGATGATGATGATGATGATGATGATGATGATGATGTGAGAGTTAGGTGAAGGACAGTATCATGTTCCAAGATTGCAATAGTGGTTGTTCAATAGCAATATTATATTTTTATGTTACCATGGCCTGTGGTGAGGATTTGAGTGTTTATGGGTGAGGACACGCCTCTGGCTAGCTTCTACCCCTGGGACCTGGGTCCTTCCTCTCTTGTTCGATGACTAAGGGTGTGGCCTCAGCTTTCCTGCTCCCACTCTTCCTACTCCTCTTATCCTGGCCCAACAGAAGGGTGATTCTCAGAAAGAACTGCCCAGGGAAAAGAAAGCCAGGAAATGAGTGGAGGAGAAGGGGGAGGAGACTCCCCCCCACCCCCCAGCCCGTGGCCTGGCCGGCTTCTTGTAGCCACAGGGTTTCAAATGCTCCTCCCTGGGCCCTCTCCTCCGGCTTCCTGTTTCCTGGGTTTTGTTCTGAGAAACTTGGCGATTCCCCCACCCTTCCTTCTACCCACACAGTACCCCTGTTCTCCCCTCAAACCCATCCCCCCCTTTTCTCCCAGGCCTCTGTGACTCCTCCCCCCCACACATACACGTAGCCTGCTTTCAGCCTGGCCCATGCCCCAGGACATGATAGGAACCACTCACCATTTTCTTACCGTCCCTCCACCAGCCCGAGTACACTCTCCTGTTCTTCCCTGTCTCAGGGTCCGGAAGGCTGAGGGTGCCATAGCCATCTCGCTTCCCGGACTTCCAGTCCCCCTCGTAGATGGCCCCTGTCTTCTTCCAGATCTGTGTCCCTTTCCCTGATGACACACAGATGGGCCAGCACTGTGGACATGGCCACACGGGGCTGGGGGGCAGGTGCTGGGTCTGCCTGGGCCTCGGGGGCCCCTAGACTTGGCGATTCCCGAAGACCGGGACAGAGTCTGTGCCTTGTCTCTAGACCCCCAGCACCTGGGAAGCCCCAAGAAAGTTCCATTTCCACAAACGGTGGTCCTCCAGACTTTTGCCCCGAAGCCAGACACATAGCAAGCCCCAAGTCAGTTTCATCTCTTAATAGCATGGGGCCGAACCTGCAACCCAGGCATGTGCACTGAGGGGGAATCGAACTGGTGACCTTTCCGCCTTGGGAGACAATGGCCAACCAACTGAGCCACACTAGGTCCAGGCATTATTCCCATTTTACAGATGGGGGAACGGAGGCTCCGAATGGTGTGTGATCGCTCAAGGTCATAGTTGGTGGGCCTAAGATTCTCGTCCAGGTTTATGGACTCAAAAGCACTCACTGCAGGAAAGCAGGAGAAAAGTGGTTAAGAGCACAGAATCTGGAATTGCGAGACTGGAGTGAAGAGTCATGCCACCTTTTTAAATCAAAAGCTTTTTTTTTCCTTCAGGTCTTAATTTGTATCACAAGGACCCCTGCACCCTCCACTGGTTAGACCCGGAGCGCAAACCAGTTAACGCCTAAGCCCCAGCTGCTTGGGGTGGGGGGTTCTGCTTCACCTCCTGCTGGTCAGGCTCCATGTCAGGGCTGAGTCTGAAGACCAGACTCCCAACTGCAGGCTGGTTTCTGGGCTCTGCCTTTCCCTGCTCTTAGGCAGTCCCACGCTTAGCCCAGGCCTCGGAGGGTAGGGCCAGAGCTGAGTCCCCTGAGCCCCAGCTGGGGCCGGGGCTGGCGTCTCAAGACTGCTCTGTGCCCCGCTGGTCCCTGAGACCTTCTCTCAGCTGAAGTCAGGGCCGAGTTCCTTTCCAGAACCACAGCATGTGGGGGCCCCTGGCTGGTCCAGGCCAGCATTTACCCCTTGGAGGAGCCTCGGGGACACATCTTATATCCCGGTGAGCTCTGAAAGCTGTTTTCTTGGCCCAAAGCCCACACTTGCCGCCCGAGCCCCTGAGGGTCCCCCACTCACCATGTTTCATGTTGTCCTTCCACTCGCCCACGTAGCAGTCGCCACCGACACTGTACACCTGGTGTCTCAGTCCGTTCTTCTGGGCCTTTTGGTCCCATGCCTTCCACAGGGGCTCTGACTTCCGTGGGTACTTGGAGATGGGCATGCTGGCTGCCTCTTCAGGGCCTGAGGGTGCCGGCGAAAGCTGGGGACATCGAGGGCTCAGCGCGCCCCTGGCTAGGCCAGCGTTCCGGGGCTCCTGGGGGAGGCACCTGTCTGGAGCTCAAGCCGGGTGAGTCATGTGTGTTCTGAGTCCTTGGGGCACATGTACTGCTTCGGGAGGGGATCCTTTTGTGCTGGTCTGACCTTGGGCTGTCTCCTCCCTTGCTTCTCCAGGGGCGCACTTGAGGGGAGGGGGGGGCCTGATGACACAATTGCTTGGGAAACCAGGGAAACCAGTAGAGCAGTTGGGTTTGTGATGGCATCAGGAAGAAACTGCCCTCGGGCAGGAGGTCACGGTCACATATTAATGGCCAGTATGACCAATCAGAGTGGATGCTGGCCCTGAGGCTAGAACTTGGCCTGGAGCCCCCCCGTGGTGAGCACCCACCGAGATCCCTTCCAGGGGAATGGGGGATTGGGGTAGCCGTGCCGCCCTGGGCCGCCGGCAGACAGCTGCTATGGCATAGTCCACAGGGACACCCTTACACACACACCGCCTGGCGCCCAGCACTTTAACCCCCTCGGTCTCGCATCATCTGTCTGGCGGATAGGATGATGCAAAAGTCCAGGGGCTGGCTTTACAAGCTATCAAGAGAGCCCACAACTGAAGATACTGCTTCTAGGGTGACCAGCTGCCCCATATGGCTGGGACTGAGGGGTTTCCTAGGGCTTCGGACCTTCTGTCTAAAACTGAGAAAATCCTGGGCACATCAGGATGGTTGGTCACCCTTCTCCATCTGACCCCTGGCCCCTGCCTCGGTCCTCCGCCTGCCTGCCTCATCACCTGGCTGGGTTTTTCCATCAGATCCAGCTCTCCTCCCCACCCTGCCTGGTGGGGTTGCAGAGAGACTTTGGTGGGGGGAGGGGTGTGTCTAGGGCCTCTCCGCAGTCGGGGAGCCCCCTGTCTGTGCTCTTCATGTCCCCAGGGTCTCCAGTGCAGAGACATTCACAGCCCCCTGTCTGTCTCCACGCGGCTTGTGCCAGCTGGTAATGATGGTCCCCTCCAAAGCTGGGGATCCCCGTTCCGCATTAGCAAATACTACCTCTTCCGTCCCATGGGCTTGGGGAATACACTCATACACACACAGGCACACACCGGCAGTGCTGGCAGCAGGGGCTACAGTGAAATATTTGACCGCGAGCACGCAGAGCTGCTGACCAATCAGAATGGCCTCGGGGCTGAGCAGATTCCCGGAGATCGCGGTGGCCCAGGCATCCACCCACCCAGGGGCAGCAACACGGACATGGGACCCAAGCAGTGGCAGAGGGCCCAGACCCGAGAAGGGCTGTGCTTCGTTCACCTCTCTGCGGCCACTGTTCTGAAATTCTTACAGACACTTTCCGAGCTGGGCCCTGTATTTGCCTCTAGCACTGGGCCCCACCCACCAAGGAGTTCCTCCGGTTGGGCTGCAGCGGCGGACTGCGGGGGTCTGACCGGGCTGACAACCACACCGGCTGGTACAGATCTTGAGGACCAAGCCTAGAAACAGAGAGGGTCACTCCAAGCCACGGAATCAGCAACGGCAACAGCTGGGAGGAGATAACAGCCTCAGGCCCTACATTTAGTGTTTTTTTTTCATTTGTCTCCTATTTCCAAGTATCACCTGCGTTGTGCTCAATCTTGATATTTGCATGAATTCCCTTTTACAAATAATTTTGCCAAGAAAGAGACCCTACATCACATTACTATAAAGGGAAAATCAAGTGTCAGGTACCCGAAGGGGAAGGTAACTGTAAAAATAAAAATACTGAACAGAAACCAATTTGTCTTAGCGAGATGGAGATTAGCAACTGTTCAGAAAGGTGTTAATGCCATATCAGCCCCAAACTGACACTTTCTCCTTGGTTTACTCAGAATTGTAACCTAGAATCTAATAACTTCCTTACGATGTCAACTGGGGGTTACTTAAAGCCTCATGGGAGTAATAAGAACTCAACCAGACGGATGCACCGGCCGGCACTTTCGGGAACCTAGGTTCTGCTATAGCGGAGGCTGAGGACCGAATACATGAGCTACTGATTGGAAAAGAAAGCTTTGCAAAGCGCTGCGCGGACTCTGCCTGAGCTGTTTTAATACTGAATAACAATAGTAACCGCACTGGGAAGGTGGAGGGGCTGGGCCCGGAGTCTTAGGGGTCCGTCCGGAACCCCCGCCCAGTCCCACCTGCGCCCTCTCACCTGCGATCACCTGCCGAGTGGAGCCTGGATCCGGAGTCCTCAAGCAGGAACTGAGGGATCGCAGCCTAGTGTCTCTGAGCAGTGCAAAGCGCGCGCTCCAGCGTCCAGGGCCGCGGCCTGGGTCGCTATGGCAACGTAGGGCTACAACAAAGCCCGCCCCTTCCTGCGGAGACAGTGCGCTCACTGGTCCTCGTGTAGGGAAACCGCGCCACTCCTCCCGCGTCCGGGGAAGGAAGTCTTCGAACCCGTGGAGGTTGGGTGCCGGCTGGTGCACCCGCCTGGTGGCCAAAGGTGTGCGGAGCGAGAGTCACGGTGTGCGCAGGGAGGTTATTCCCGTTTGCACCCCCATCCCTCTCCGGTCTGGGGATCCCCAGAGCAAATACAACCCTGAACAAGGGTTAAAGGCGGTTCTGCCGAGGTGCAGTCAAAGCGGCAGAATTTGCAGGGCAAACCAACGTCACAGGGGCTCTTAGTGCCGTGGGGGTTTGCTACCCGACTCTGAGACTTCGAGGGAGGTTTTATAGCCCCTCCAACCCTGGAAGACGCATACGCGGTACATGAGCACCAGCAGGCCCAGGTCCCTCCTCGGCTCCCATCCTCCCAGAGGCTCCCCTTGTCACTCAGAGTAAAAGCCACGGTCCTAGTGACCTTCAAAACCCTGCTTCATCGGCCCGCCTCTCGCCCCTTTCCTCTCTGACCTTCACCCCTATTCAGTGCGCAGGGTCTAGCTGTGCTCCAGCCCCGCACACTTGCTTCCCCGGGAAATGCGGGGCATGTCCCGTTTTCGGGGCCTTCGCCTCTTCCGTGCCCCCTACCAGGACTTCCTTTCCTCCAGACCGCAGCCCGGCCAGAGGCAACGGGGCTTTTCCCGTCTGCAGTTCTGAGGGTCCCCCCGCCCCCCCCGGCCCCTGGAGCCACTCCGCTGCGTGGGCAGAGAGGCGGGAGTGACTGGGGACTGACCCCCGGGAAGGGTGCCCCACAGACAACGACTGACCCAGGAGTGTGAGGGCCCTGGCTTCAAGCATGCTTGAACTCGGGTGTAATTTTTTTTCTTTTTTCTTTTTTTTTTTGCGGTTCTTTTTGTTTATTGTGGTAATCTATAATACATCCCATAAAGGTTACTGTTTTGATTATTCTTTTTAAAAAATATTTTCTTTCTTTATTTTTTTTAGAGAGGGAAGGGAGGGAGAAAGAGAGAGAGAGAGAAACATCAATATGCAGTTGCTGGGGGCCACGGCCTGCAACCCAGGCATGTGCCCTGACTGGGAATCGAACCTGCAATGCTTTGGTTCGCAGCCTGTGCTCAATCCACTGAGCTATGCCAGCCAGGGCTTGATTATTCTTAAGTGTACAGTTCAGTGGCAGCCAGTATTCACAATATCCTGTAATCATTCACACTATCCTTTTCCAGGACTTTCCCATCTCCCCAAACTGAAATTCTTGTGCCCATTAAACAATAACTTCCGATTCTCCTGTCCCCCAGACCCCTGGTAACGTCTGTTCTCCTCACTGTCCCCGTGAATCGGCCTGTCCCGGGTGCCTCACTGCACCGGATTCACACAGCATCTGTTGAAGTGTGATTTTTGTTCCCGTGAGTGCTCCTTCGTTGCTTCGCTCTTCACTCCCATTGGAAAGAGAATTTTGCTCTGATTTCCACCCTTATCATTTATAGTTAATTTGTTGAGTGTGTGTCCCTCTCAGAGATGGTTATTAATAGACATGGAACTTCCACAATGTATCTTCTTGCTTTACCCAAGGTTCTTTTGGTTGCCAGTAGAGACACCATCTCATACCACCCGATAAAGGAAGTGTACTAAGGATGCGAGGGTGTTGGAAAGTTGTCGACATCAAAGCCACCATCCCCCTTTATCTCCAGCTCTATCTCTGTCTCTATTTCCGTCTGTCTCTATCTCTCTGTCCCTCTCCTTCTTCGTGCTCGCAGTTGTGGTGGAAAATTGCTGCCCCTTATAACACCTCCGTTCCAGTTGCTCACAGAAATTAGTTGGCTCTTTCTGAATTCCAATCCCTAATTCCTGAGGGGCTTAACTAGCTAGGGTCCAGAGTGGCCCTTGGCCAGTCATGCTGCTGACACTGTGGTTTTCCTCGCGACCTTTTCTTCTGCTCCGCAGGCACCTGCCAGACTTTCCAACCCTGTAAGTCAGACTGTCCCTTGGCTCATGCTGTGTCCAGAGCTGCCCTGCTGCCTGAGGAATGGCGCCTCGTGGCCTAGAATCTTCCTTCTCCTTAGGCCAGGCCAGGACACAGGCACAAGCCTCAGTTCCTCTATTGCAGAGACCTCTTTCGCAGCCCCTAATTAGACCCTGGTTCAGGAGGAGGCAGGACCGTCTGCTAGAGAAGAATCTGGGGCAGGCTAAGGCTTATCTGCAGGCCATCTGGAAGGGCGGGTCACACGTCTATGAGGCTGTTTTTCCTATCAGGTCAGAACCTGGTGCCATTCTTCACAAACTCCTGAGCAGTTGCTGTGGACTGGGAACTCCCCAGCACCGACACATCAGCAGCATCAGGCTCGAGGGCTTCTGTCCTAAATACTCTTCTCATCACCACCTGCCAGACTGAGTGATTGGAATTTGGCTGGGTTCCTCTCAAGGACCTTGTCTGCAGATGGGGTGAATGGAGTTCTCCTGGGTAGTCAATCAAAAGATGAATGGATATAAATAAAATCTTAAAAAAAAAAAAAAAGCTCTGGCTGGGGTGGCTCAGTGGTTGAGCGCTGGCCTGCGAATCAAAGGGTTGCTGGTTCGATTCCCAATCTAGGGCACATGCCTGGGTTGCAGGCCAGGCCCCCAGTAGGGGGCGCACAAGAGACAACCACGCATTGATGTTTCTCTCCTCTTCCTTCTCCTCTCTAAAAAATAAATAAATAAAATCTTTAAAAAAATGGATGGATAAACAACACGTGTTCTAGCCACACAATGGAATATTAGTCAGCCATGAAAAGGGATAAAGTACTAATACATGCTACAACATGGATAAACTGTGAAAACATTATGCTAAGTGAAAGAAGCCAGACACAAAAGGCCACAAATTAGCCCTGGCTGGCATGGCTCAGTGGATTGAGCACTGGCCTGCAAACCAAAAGGTCATGGGTTTGACTCCTGGGCAGGGCATATGCCTGGGTTGGGGGCCAGGTCCCTGGACAGGGGCGTGTAAGAGGCAATCGATCACTTGCACTTCAATGTTTCTCTCCCTCTAGTTTTCCCTCCTTTTCCCTCTCTTTAAAAATAAATATATATATTTTAAAAGGCTACATATAACATGATTTCTCTTATAGGAAATATCCAGAAAAGGCAAACCCATAGAGGCAGAAAATAGATTAATGATTTCCTGGGAGGAGGAAAGGGAAATAAGGAGGTGATGGTTCAAGGGCAGAGAGGCTTTTTTTCCATCGGTAATGAAAATATTTTGAAACTGACTATGGTGATGGTTGCACAACTCTGTGAACAGACTGAAAACCATCGAACTGTACACGAGAGGAATGAATTGGGTGGTGCGTGAATGAATTCTCACAGTAAAGCCTTAATCGCTGGTGCAGGATGAGCGCCCTCTAGGGGCTCTCAGATGTCCAGCGTGAGTCACAGGCCACTTCTAGATTTTGAGACTTCTGCTAAAATAAAAATCAGAAAAATGCCTAAAGAGTGTAACACAAAGTGTGGCAAAGGTGGTTTACATTTTTATTGAAGTGTAAAATACACATAGGAAAGTAAAAATATCATCAGTGTATAGCTTGATAGATTTTTTAAGAAGATTTTATTTATTTTTAGAGAATGTAAGAGAGGGAGAAAGAGAGAGAAACATCATGTGTGAGAGAAACATTGATCTATTGCCTCTCACACGCCCCCAGCTGAGGACCTGGCCTGTAACCCAGGCATGTGCCCTGACTTGGAATTGAACCAGTGTGACCTTTCGGTTTGCAGGCCAGTGAGCCACACCAGCCAGGAAAAGCTGGACAGACTTTTGCAAACGGAACACACCCTTGTCTGGGACTGTCTCCCTTGGGAACAATGCCAAAAATGTCCATTTGAGCCCCTTCATATTTATGAGGTGACTTCTGAGTGACTCCATAGGACCCCTCTTTTCCTCTCCATTTTCTTCTTCTTTCCTAATCTCTAGGGTTAGACCATCTGGGAGATGGGTATTCAATACTTACTTATTGTTATTTATTGATTTTAGAGAGAGGAAGGAAGGGAGAGATAAACATAGAGATAGAGAGAGTGAGACATCAATTTGTTGTTCCACTTATTTGTGCATTCATTGGCTGATTCTTGGATGCGCTCTGGCCAGGGATTGAACCCACAACCTTGGGGTATCAGGTCAATGCTCTGACCAACTGAGCTACCCAGACAGAGCATATTTAAGTTTAAGTTCAACAAAAACAAAACCTCAATTCCTTAGTCACCCTAGCCGTGTTCCAAGTATTCAGTGGGCACATACGGCACCCGGCTACCATACGGGACAGCAGAGACACCGAGCATGTCCTTTATCGTAGAAAGTTCACCTGGCCACGCTGCTTCTGAGATTTCCGTCCTCTAGCCTCTATCCCTTCCTTAGGAAAGTTTCCTTTTAATTCCCTCTCTCTGCCCCAATCCTCTTTCTTTTTCTTTTAATTGGTAAAAAAAAAATGCTTTGTCAGAACCTAACATAATGTCTGTAGAAATAAGCCAGTGAAAATTACAGTGTTTGAGAATACTCATTAGGCAAAGAAATACACATAATAAATCATCCGAAGGAAAAACACACAGCCTCACTAGCAATTAAAGAAATGAAACTTGAAACAACCCTGCCACACCATTACACACTGTCTAGACTACGGAAAATGTGTACAAGCCATAGACTGTGTGTGATATTGGCAACACTGTGAGGAAATAAGCACTGCTACATTCTGCTAGCCATCCTGGCCATTATTTCCTCCCAAAGAACCATCTGGAACAATGTTCCAGGAACTATAAAACCATTTTCTGATTAATTTCACTTAATAACTACTTTTTACTTATTTATTTAATAGCTGGTGTGAGGCATAGTATTGGTACTTTACATACTTTTTTAAAAAATATACTTCTCAGAACAACCCTATGAGGTAGGTAGGAACCTTATCAGC